CGAAACAGTACACCCAGGTCTCATCACTACTAATCTTCCTAACTGCATTGGAAGGTTCACCATCAAATTTGGCAAGCATGGTGGGGCACCATGATGGGGTACTCAGTGTGAGCGAGTCTCTCTGAAGCCGAGCCTCTTATGTAGGATGGTGCGGGTTGATCCCGATGACTTTCACCAGCTGTGCCACTATCACCCACGAACCCTCCTCCACCACCGCTTGCATAGCAGCAATGTTGCCTACTGTGGTGGCCCCGACAGATCGACCACACCACCACCTAGGGACCACATGCCACGCTTGAATTCCGTAAACCATTCAAACAGTGTTTCTTGAAGGCGCGTCATCACCAACGGCAGCTCGCAGACGACCAACACTCTGCTGCTGGTCTAAACCACATTTTGGTAGTAGAAAATTCTCACCCTCGATGACATCAACTCTGTTCCATCTTAAAATCCAAGTATAACGACCCTCATGATTTGTGAGTTGTGCTCGGCTGTTGATATTTGGTTCCGTGAGTTGCAATCACTGAAAAATATTTAAAATAGATTACATTCCATGTTTTTCTTTCCCGGTCATCTCCAACACTTACGTGTAATGGGTATCCCGGGATCGTTTTGCTCAGTTGTGGTGATCCAGACATACGTGACCGCATTCCAAGCACGACCAGGTACAGCTTCATGTCATCCAATCACCGTTCAGGAAGCTCTGCCAGTGGTACACTGCGTGAAAATTACATCCGAGTTAGTACATGTCAAGCGTCTGCGCAAATGATGAAGTGATTGGACGACGGTTCTTTGACCAATGATATGGCCTATTACTATAAAACATGCTCTGATTCTATCAGTAAACATAAGCATTTACTGCTACCAATTCCTCGTGTATTTCACTGGTGTCCGCAGTTCCGGTTGGAGCCAATCCAGTTCTGAGCATTACAGTACGGGTTCTCGTATTCTGATATTCAATACTATCCTGACTACTACATCAGCGATCATGGATGGATCAGCCATTAGATGAATTCAATTATTGATAAGACGTTTGATTTTAGCATGATTACACTATTCACCGCTGTACATTAGCGGTTTCGGCGATGCAAATAATAATATTGGAAACTGATGGATTGAGAGAAACGGACGAAGGAGGTTAAGTTGTAACAATCACAATGATATCCCGGGGGTTCAAATCGCATTACAAATGTCTAATTTCCCTCTGTAGTTTGTTGCATCTTATGGTCATGGTCACCATACAGGAAAACCGATTGAGTGAGGTGTCAGGCCAAAACACACACGAAAGCATTCTTTTCGATCTGACGATTTTTTTCCTGTTCATCGTGAGAATTAAAAAGATCAGCTTATGATTGTCTATGCAGCCTTCCTTTATCACAGTTAGTGCGCTGACCGCCATCCACTCAAATATCAAGAACTTCAGAAGGGACCGGATAGCTACCTAGACCCAATTTTGAGCAGTCACTTAACTCACATTATTTCTAGCCTTTCTATTGTGTTTGATTGTGTTTGTACAGCACACAATTATAAGCAACGCTGAGCAGAGCAGATTCGGTGGCACGTGTTTTGTTACGGACCCCGGTTTCCCGCCGGATCACAGAGTCAGTCGTCGTCTGAAATGAACGATTTGCGAATGAATTGAATTTGTGCACCGGTTACGACCTATGCGCATGCACTTTTGCAATCGGATTGCAGTTGCCTTTGACTATCTCAGTCTATCCGTCCCACAGTCGTTTGGAGAACGTTTACGATCAGCTGGTCAAATAGATGAATTTCAGAAGTGAGTTATCCGGTGCACTCACTTACGATATCCTTTGACGAAGGTATTTCAGGGATTAATGGACCCCTTGAGGCCAGTTATGCTGTTTCCAAAATCCGATTATGGTCGCAACTTTATTGCAGTAATTATATTATTGCAATGCAATGCAATACAATATTTTAGCATCGTTTTAATTGGTTGCCGTAACAACGGAAAATGTGCTGATTAAAGTGGAGGATGGGAAAATATAGTCGCGGCCGCCTCAGATCACTCAAAAGCAACTTCTCATCTTCGTATCGTTATGAATTTGGGAAAAATCACGGAATACGCCCATTGATTAAGAACACGATGTAGGCGAACGTATGTTTTCGGTGAGTAGAGCTGTGTCGAGCTCGGTCGTCGTTTATCTGGTAGAGACGGGACACTTGGTCGACATGCGCTCGGCATTTACAATAATTTATCGGGTCTCACCATACTCCCAGAGAGCAATACGGTTTCGGACGTTAGCAACCGCAGAGGCGATTGGCATCCGAATCATGAAGCCTGAGCTGTGCGCACAACGCAAATTGATCCAAGCTCTCAAACTGCCCTGGCCAGGGGAAGAGAAAATCGCTTGTTCAAACGACCGTAACGTAACACCATGACGTAACGACTTTGGTTATGTGATCCAAACAGCGTATAAATTCGGAGTTCTCTTAGGCTCATTGCCAAACGCATGACTCATCCACTTTTCTGTTTGACCGTCCTGAAATTGTTTCATATAAATGTGATTATAAAAGCTTGAAAAAAATTCTGGAAAACCTCGTAATAAATACGAAAAGATCCCGCTAACATTCCGAGGAGGCCAAGGTAAACACCTAAGTGAACGGTGAGTCGCTTTGTGCCAAAAGCATGTATCAAAAACTGAAGCAAGCCTTTCCCGAGATCAATTTCAAAAGAAAAGACCAAATTGCAATGCTGCACGATTTATGTCCAGGACAAGTGTGCAGATAGGGTCAATAAAGCTATGACCACTCCCCGTTCAAAGTGCACTATGTTGCATTAACCTTGGCGTCGGCTAATCCATGCTATACGAGGGTGACCGTTACAGAACCAAACATTGTTTCCGTTCCTCACCTTTCCTAACCACAATGAGTTTGACCATTTTGACTCCCTCAGTTTACTCGTTCGGATTCACTAGACCTGACCCTTTGTGACCTTTTATTAACACGTAGCAGTCCGCGATTGACCCTGACCATCATATCAGTAAGTTAACACAATTATCTGATTTTTTCTTTTGCCTCTTGACCTACCCGATGCGTATCCCAATCATTGAGCCAATGACTACCCTCCGTGTTTACATCACTTTGTTGTATCCCTGACTCAGCCTCTTGATCTACCTCGGTGGTCTGATTCCCTCTTTTGCGTCCTTGTGAATGACCGACCGAGTGTATAACCCTAACTTCGAACTGTCCGCGTTTGGTGAGCAGATTCAGCCACCGTTGCAAAAGTGGCATTGACTATCGTGGATTTTCAAACGTGCTGAACAGACGCCCTTGTTTGGCAAACAAGTATCTCTGTTTTCCTTTTGTGAATTGATTTGCTTGTCTCTCTCATCAGGTCATTGTTTGAATTTTCTTTTGGCTGCGTCGCGACCGAATCTCGTTGCTATAGTATGTCGTTCATGTCTTGTTTAACAAAATAAAGATTACCATATGCATCACGGATCAATAAATGCATCGTTCTCAATTCACATTTCGTTTTCTGTTATGCATTGTCCAAGGATCGCATTGACGCTATGGAGAACGACTACAGAATAGCCGATTGCCCTCAGACTAGATCAAAATGCTTTGGACGAGTACCAACTCCGAGTATCACTGGCAAATCGGATAGATTAGCCCCTATTCTTTTCTATCTTCGTACATGAAAGGAGGTTTAGCGATGGTAACTACACTGTTGACTGACCAACACTTCATCGCAATGAAAACCCACTAGACAAAAAAGTTTGACTTCTCTCTTTCTAAACATAGACCTCGTGCAATTTGGACTGATGGTAATGAAACAGTGCAATAACAGATAAATGTACTTTTCCTATTTAACTCACAGTCACTTGTGAGTAGTGTGATATTGATTGATTTAACTGGCTATCCTTTGGACTTCACCTTCACCCGCAATCCTCAGTTCATCCATTCAAGCATACACTCGGAAGCACTAGACTCAGGTTTAGCTCTTATTAGAGCTCATCAGTAGTGCATATCCACCGTCCCGCCCGGGCTTGGAACTCCGGACCCATCGCGTGGATGACGTGTGTTACCACTACACCAACCAGATCAGGCCATGGCTGAACCAAATTGTCAATTCATGTTTGTTCAGGTGTTGTCTTCAGTGATTAGGGGATTTACTCATTCTGTAGTTCATCACACAATCACCTGGTTATCATGGCTTCATTACATCAAACACTTGGGACCATAAACTGCCCCACCCCCTCCTCCACTCTATACGGATATCGACCGCAAGAGGTGGGAGCAAATGAACACAACTCTACCACCCGATCCTCATGAGTTCAACGTCTTAATTATTAAGCAAAGAACCGAAACCAGCAGTTCATTTGCCGAAAAGTGATAACAATTAGGGGATTTATGATTCGAATGATGATGGGGCGGACAAAGACGACGATACAGGGCATCCCTATTCGGGTATCTACTACGTACCAGATGTAAATTATACCTTGGACCGAAATTTCAATAATCAGCACGACGAAACACAGAAAGCAAAGAAAAAGTGATTTATTTGGTACTCCCCTCCGGATGACAAGAGAGGGGTGGACGAGATCGAAATGACAGAGAGAGAGAGAGAGAAAGATCACATGATTATAAGCACATCGTACGAAGAAAAGCAAAAACAAAAATACATGCAAAAAGCAAAATTAGAAAAATCCTGATGGAAATTTCCAAAGCCGAATAGAATGGAGTAGAAGAAAATCTGTTCTGTTCAGGGTATGCAACGAGAGAGAGAGAGAGAGAGAGAGAAGTCACAGAAGGCATAAAGGGCAAATGTCAAGGAAGAGAATCCACGAGGGAAAAAGCATGCACAGTCAGTTGGATGCTTGCATTCTATGAAGCATGATAAGAACCGAAAAGGTAAAGCATGATGTATGGGTGGGTGGGGATAACAGAAAGATCTGTACGCGACACAGAGCTGGAGTCAGACAAGCAAACGGACGAAATATGCGATTCAGATCTAACCTGTCTGTAAGCTGTTCTCATCGTTTCAAATAGGTATAGTAGAAATGCTGCGCGAAAATCACTAAATCCATGGTGACTTGGAGCCAACCACACAGAGGGAATTGCAGGGGTGCATGTTCGAGCATGAAGAAAACAGATTTAGCCACATCTCCAATTGTCCAGAGGAAAACCATCATGACGCTGAGGTGTGCATTTCAGTTGGGGGGGGGGGGGGNAGCATCGCAAACACGTGGAGCGGGTGGGAGGGTAACAGAAGAACGGATTTGAAGTTTAAAGAAAACGTGTGCAGAAGCAACTGATGAGGTCTTAGGAAAACATAAACCCGAATTACAGTGGGTCTGAGTAAGCAATCATTAGTACCAGTTTCTCAAAGTTCAACTACATGCATAACATATCGGCAAGTAACGTAAGACATTTGACATCCCATCTTTATTATACGATCAATCTCTTGCTATGTCTCACCCCTCGGGAATTCGAACAGCAGGTTGATTGGTCAATGACTGTCCCCAACATCGGTTAACGGTCAACTGAGTAGGCATCAGAAACTGGGACATATTGAAAGGGGGTGGACAGCATACTCACAAACTATGTTATTACACATACGGTTGGTTTGGGTCTTCTAAAAATTGGGATATTAAAAATGGGACTTTTTAGGGGGTAACATAGCAGGAGATTGTTTGTAACCACTTTCCAGCCTTGATACTCCCGCTCTCAATGTTTGACAAAGACAGCTATCAAGCCCGCCGAGGACACCGCCCAACTCTAGTTTCAGAGATTCATCCGAATTGACGGGGCAATTTACACATTCTCTCACATGGCCGCCCGGGTTCCTCCCACACACTTTTCTCTCTTCCGTAACCATGTTTTAACCGCCCACCCGATCCACACTTTCTTTCCGGTGATGCCACCCTACACTGCTGTGGGTTAACGCATCACTCTATATCCTAGTACATACAACATACAAGACAATGCGCATGATCAACCAAAAGCTAATTTAGGAAAGTAGCTGGAGGGTGGAACACCAATAAGCCAACCCATTGCACTACAGACTGTTCGATCCGGAAGTAACCATCGTGTTCCGATGCTCAAAAAAATTGAGACCACCTCAGGCACTAGAAAAGCCTAAGTTTTTCTGAGACTTCCATAGAATTGTGTACGAAACAGCCAAATATGCCTGTGAGTGATGAAAAGAAAAGTGCAAACTTGCATCCCGAAGGATTTCTGGGAAGACACCGGCCTGTGGTTCGCGCAGTCGGACAGAATTATTCTGATTTTATCATAGATTAGCCCTGATCTAACGTGTTCGTTTCAGGTCGGTTTCATAGGGCCTACCACCGTAAAGGTACATTGTTCTGTAACATCTTTCTGTTCGCACTCAGTTCTATCTGGGGTTGGCAAATATTTTTAATCACAACCGCGTCAGTCGGACACAGTGGGGAGGGGAGGGTGGTCAGTAATGTAACTGGTAGCACCTGTTACAAGACTATTATTGATTGATTTGCATTCAAACCTATTCCACACTTCTTCCTCGATATATTGTGGCACACTTGTCAATAATATGTAATTGGTTACATAATTGGTAACATATATATGGCAATAAACACTTGATGTTTGCATCAAACGTTGCCACTAACCTCATTCCTTTAGTCGATCCGTTCTGATAATTCTTGATCAGTTGTGGCAGACCGAGTAACGCTTCGATAAAAAGTGCAGCAAATCCCAACAAATGAACAAACAGAGCATTGGCACCGAATAAATGCGTCACCATAGTGGACACCAGGACAAATGCGGTAGTGAAAACCAGATAACTTGTGAAATCAGTCCACTGCCAGAAATAACGCGAAGGACCATCTGTTTGGGAAGGGTGTACGAAAAGCGATAGAAAGCAATAAATTTCACCATGATTACCAATAGTAACTTCGCTTTAAAATACATAAATATGCGTTACTATCATCAGCAAAGGAATTAACCGCCCGCATTTCCAAGGCTCGAGCAGCATATGCAGGACTGAAACACCTTTGGCGTAGACGCGACGTTTCACTGAAGTTGAAAGGTCGTGTATATTGTGCTAGCGTTCGTTCAGTCCTGCTTTATGGTTGTGAGACCCTGAATTTGCGAGAAGATATCCATCGACTGGAGGTTTTCGATTATCGGTGTTTACGCAATTTAGCCCACGTTGGATGGAGCGAACGGGGTTAGTAATGTGGAGGTAAGCCGACGTGTGCTTGGGAGTATATCAGGTATAAACCTGCTAGCATACCGAATTCAGCTTAGTAGACTTCGCTGGCTAGGGCAAGTATTGCATATAACCAGCCATCGTCTGCCACGTTTTATTCGCTGTAGCCGCTCCGGGCTGGAGGAAACCACGTGGAGGTCAACAGATGACACAAAGACGAGGTATGAAGAAATGCACAGTCACAGGTAGAGTAGATGTCTCTCGCCTCCCAGGTTGGGGTCCGAAAGATTCCACAACCGGCTGGTTGGAGGACTTGAAGGATATGGTAACGAATCGACAGCAGTTACGTTCTTGTTGTCATTTCTTATCAGTCCAGAACGCTTGAAACGGTATATATGCAGAGTTTGATTGTGCACCCTGTGTGTTGACCATAGGGGTTCACCTACTTTTCCCTCCCGCAAAGTAGGTTCAATCCCTGTCCACCCTAAATTTTACCACTAAACATTGCGAGTTTGGCAGCGATCAGTGAAGTACGCTTCATTGTATTTCGCTGCACGATGCTAATGATGATGATGACTCCGGCATGCATAATGTATTNNNTGATGATGAAGTACAGTGGTCAGACCGATCGATCACCAATTGTATATCACTGACTGGAGTGATCTATTTGTTTCTACAACCGAACCAGAACGACCAAAATTAGTGGGATTATCCTCAACACTCACCGCTTATTCGCCAACACAATCTAGAATACATATACATAATGAAAGACGAATTCGGAACTCGGGAGTAAGCAGTACAGTAAACCTACAAACATGTGCTATTCAAAACAGGTCAACTTTTTATCGAGTCGCAGATAGGCTGTTTACTAACCCAAGTCAGTACGACGAGGAATATTTTCAGACACCGTTCAGTAAATGCGTTCAAACCCATTTGCCTCAGTCACTTTTTTGTATTTCATACGTACAATCAATTTTAAAAAATGAATGTAGATATGTGGACAGAATTGATATTGGTTATCAATTTTTCGTGTGCTACATTCAGCTATAAATAAATGTACATTTATAAGATATCATAACAAAAACGAAGAAACACGGTCATTTAAATCAGCCAACTCCAAGATCAACGTTGAACCTTTATCCTTAAGGAACATCCAATCTGGGCCGGAGATTTATACCTTCCGAGATAACTTATTTTGAGAAAACGAGTTGGTAAGCGAACAATTGTTTTAGGATATTTCTAGTCATGCTCTTACATATCATATAGTGGAAAAAGTTCTTACATAATGATGGCCATTGGCTAAATTTCAGGTAAATAATCTGAGGCAGAGAGTAGAGGATGCGTATGTGCGTGCGTGTAAGAATGTTTCGCTTGTTGGTTGATGTGAACTTCCCCACTTGGGNCCACACCCGGCCAAGGAAATTGGAGTGCCTGCATCAGTGTTTTTTGGGCACACAGGTTGGGGCCTAGTAAGCGAATGGCGATCGCCTCAGGCATAGTTAGTATGCAAACTCGGGCCGCCCTTGACCGATTGAGTGAGATGCGATAGAAAACATCGAAAGCTTTCTCCGGTTCGATCTTGTGCCCGGTGTCGACGAGATGCCCCACGATCGCGCTTGAAATACAGCCGGTTTTGTCCTGACTCCACCATCGCGGGTGGTGCTCCTTAACGCGTTGAGACAAACGCCTTACCGCACGACCTATGTAACATGCGCTACAGACGCATTTGAAAGGGTAAATTACCATGGATGAGGTCAGTTTTGGCAGTTTGTCTTCCACTTGAATTCGCATTACCGGTGATGTAGAGAACACTGGTCAAGGTTTGACTGTGGGGAAAGTAGAATTTACAACCGTTCTCACTGACTTTACTAGGCTTTCTGTGTGAGTCCCCCTTAAATGGGATCCTTATGATTAGTTCTTTCTTGGAGAAACATATGGAGTTTTCCTTCTCCAGAGTGAGCCGAACATTCTTATTGATGAACTTTTCCAGATAACCATTGTCATGCAGCGTTTGACGGATGAAGCGTAGTTCTTTATCCAGTGTATCTGCTGAACAAATCTTCCGGACTGTGAATACTAGACACCGAACTAGATTACGTCTATATTTCACGGGAACGAAACTTTGGAAGTGGGTGAGATGACGATTCCATATTTTCTTTCTGTGTATGTCTTCTCATTGATCCATCTTCTTTCCTGAACACGGCTGTATCCCGAAATGCCAATATGTTGTTTGTTTCAACCTCTACGGTGAATTCCGGTGATGGATGTGCTTAGTTGAACGATTTCAATGTCTGTGGGATGCCATTTTTGCGATCGGTCACATAGAAGATATCATCCATATATCTACTGTAGTGTGCTAATCCTTCAACAGTTCGACTCATCGTGCTCCTTTCTAGTTTAGCCACAAAGATGTCAGCTAACAACGGACCGAATGGGGGTCCCACGGCAACCCCGTCCATTTGGCGATAGATAGTACCGTCAAATGGAAACTGGACGTTACGTGTGCGGTGTAATAACAGTTCCATTAGATTTGTGAACGGAATACCAACGTCTACATTCACCGTTTTTTACTTGATCACAAATGAATTCCACTGTTTCCAGCAGGGGTACATTAGTGAACAGTGAGACAACATCCAAGGAAAACATCGTCTTTTCTTGTAGATCCAGGTCTACTATTTTAGCTACAAACTGGAAGCTGTCTCCGAGACTTTGTGGCGAGTCTACAACGGATGGGTTCTAGCAATTCGACCAACCACTGTGCCATTGTGTGATATGGTGAATTCACCATTGCCATAATAGGTCGTTTGGAACTCCTTCTTTGTGGATCTTGGGGAGACCATACAATCGTGGGATGGTGGACCCACATGGTTTCAGTAAATCGAATGCAGCATTGCCTATGTGCCCCTGTGACTTTAGCGCCTTGAATAGATCTGTAATTTCACCTTCCATCTTTTTTTGCTGCATCTAGAGAACATCTTATCATCCTAAATTATTTCAGAAAGCTTTTGAACATAATCATTTTTGTTCCTAAGAAGCACCCGTGTCTTTATCTGGTTTGAGCAGCATGATGTCCCTGTTCTTTCTGCGTTCTCTCAAAGCGTTTATTTGCTGACGCATAAGCGGTTATGAATGTGAACCTTTCCGTCAATAGCAAGCTTTTAAACCTTTTCAAATCCTCGTCTGAATTAGGTACCAAGTCCTTCGTTTGAGCCATCAGACTTTCGAATAGCACCTCCAAATCGATTCGGTTAACTATCTTCGGAGGGCAACAAAACTTCCATCCCAGTGTTAAGGCTTCCATTTCTAAAGAAGATAGCTGCCTATCAGACAACTTATGGGAAAAGTGGACATGTGTGCAATCAATGAACTGAACGCGACACGTGCAGATTTGACTTACGAATTGGTCGAATTCCAATCTTTCATTTTCAGGTAAATCGTCCACAATAGGCTGTCTTTGTAAGATATTCCGTTCAAATTACGCAGTTTTAAATTTCAATGAACGACAAACACTCAACCATGTCTCCTGGGGTTTTTGCTGTTGGGATAGATGCTATCTCGGCGAAGTTGTTTCCAGTATCGACTGGGAGTATTTGTTAATAATCACACAATTATTTTAAAAGTCCACATGAGTGTTAGCTTCCGCAAGGCGTGGAAAAGTTCATGAACGTATACAGTGCCTTAATTACACCGGGATCCTTGAACGATCTCAAAAGTTTGAATATTCCCATGATGGTATTGAGAAAACGAGTAGGTGAGAGAAACAATTGTTTCCGAATGAACAATTGTCCGCTCACTGACTCGTTTTCACAATGCTATTATAGGAATATTCGAACTGAAAACAGCGTTTACTAGGAATTCGACTGGCGATGAAGAAGAGATCATTAAGCAAAACCCTTGGGGGGAAAACCTGGAAAAAGTCACGGGGGAACAGTTCAGTTCAGTTGGGAATAGTGATTGTGGCGGGTCACCCTTCCCTTACCCCTAGCGAAATGCTCCTGTGACCAAGCGTTTCAGACAGCCTCTACTGAGGAAGCCCTGCTCACTGCCTTCTCATGGCAGAGGTACTTCCCCACCAAAATGAGAGAACGAAAAGCCAACATCCGGGGCTATAACCGGGTTAGTGAACCATTGGCAGTTCACCTAGGGGAGTTGGCTAAAAACCTTGATTCCAAACCAACAAAGAAGAGGCGTACGAACCGCACACCCAAACCTTGGTTGTGGTGGTGGTCACTGGCTCCTCCCTCACTCCTGTTGCTCATTGCAGCACACAGAGGAAACAAACTATTTCGTGACGTGTGAAGTCAGCATATCCAATGGGCACAGGCATAACACATCAATTAGACAAAACAGATGACACTCACTCCAAATGGTACGACTCGCTTTCGGTGTGCCCGTAGATCGTCCAGACAGGGGTGGTGAGCGCTGGTACAATTCGTCGTGAAGTATCATGGCAGCTCGGTGCATTAGGATAAGCATGGCAACAACCATGACACAGCTTTGGATGAGCAACGGAATGGAAAACGGTTGCACAAACCTGTAAAGTATAAGAAGAAATAGTTAGAAAGTAACGGAGAGAACGAAATCCGGGAGGTTGGACATACTGGATAGAACAACCATTGTACGTCAAGACAATATTGGACAGATATTCAGTCGAAATCGATAACAATTTCTCTCAAACCACAAGTAACTGTAAGTCGCAATTTCCAGAGATTTCAACTGTTGGTATGGACCAAAGTGCCAACAAGAAGTGATGATGGCTTTCAATTGGAGGTAGCAGATAGCTAACGAGTTTCCCTTTGCTAACGCCGAAAAAAGTGCTTTTACGAAGTACCTTCAACGCTTTCAGATGCTGTGTGTCCACCTGATGTTGTATATGCATATACTGATAGGTAAAGTGCCAAAAGTAACCACGGTCTGTAAAGAACAAAGAACGATAAACAATCTATTCAAAGAGGGAAGTGGGAAAACATGTAATTGTTCATTTGCTGCGAGCAATTTCCATGTTTTTGTTCTTTTCTGGTGTTATTATTTTCTATGGTGAACATGTATTCATATCACTGGTTTCCATTTATCGCCGTATCCCATAGTTTTCCAGGCAATAGTATTCCGAGATTTTGGGCCCCAGGATAGAACTTGAGATACCCCAATGGGAACCAGATACAAAAACAATTTCTTCAACCATTTACACCATGTAAACATAGCTGTTTCTTTCAATTAAGTCATGTTTTAAATAAAGCACAATACAACAGATGTTGCCCTGCGATTCGTAAGATGTGCTCTAACTACCCCCAGACAAAGTGAAATGATTTTGCCTGACACATTTTCCTATGTACTGCTCTT